ACGGTACGAAAAACGTCTAGTATGAGAGTCGCAAGATATGCTAAGAAAGAAAACTCTGTACACCCTTGGTACTTTGAGGAAGATAAATGCCGACGCGCGAGGACTCATCTTGGATCTCGTCCTCCAGGAGAGCTCGACAAGGATCAGGATGCTTTTGACTTCGGGGATGCCTAAGATACTCAAGATATAGAAGTACCAGGGACCGAAGGGGTTCTTCTTCACGAAGTAGGCAGAACAAGAAGCGGCATCGGATGATTTATGGACGTGGTGCGTTTAGAGCTCAGCCGGTTCTCTGCTAGGAAGGAAAACAGTGGGCCCTTCGTGGATGACAATGCAATTTATGCTCCGAGTGCATCGCAAGAAGAGGAGTCAGAATGCGGATCGAAATCGAATGCGAGACACCCGATAGACCGCTAACCTCGAACCTCTTCATGGATTCTTTGTGGGTGAGGGTTTCTCTTTGAGAAGCGACCGCGCAAACAGTCCGAGGTATTATGCTCGCTCCAAATTGCACCGATCGTATTTCGCATTTGCTCGCACGCATTCGAGGGGATGCTCTTGGATTCCGAGAATTCCGCTCGCTTCGAGTCCTCCGAATAGCAGTATAGAGGATAAGGAGGTACTTTGGTGGCGTTCTACTCCCGACTTGAGAGTACAATAGGAATCGCGAATTCGAGCCATCCAAGCTTGGCACCCGTGATTCGATTCGAGCCTCCGTTTCGTCAAGAAAAATAAAAGAAATCTCGTTCGAGCTACGCCCACGTGACGAAGATTCATCGACGATTCGAGTCATCGAGCGCAGTTTTTATTCTTTTCCAGAAATGCGTTGCTTGCAAGGAGAAAAAAAGAATCGTTTCATACCGCGAAACGCAGAAGCAAAGGGTTATTTCGGGTGCTGCGCCTTGCGCAAATCGGCTATTCGGAGATCGTTGAAAAGTTCCGAAATCCGCGTTAAATTTTAACGACCTCGCAGAACTGCGCGGAGGAGAAAGCGGGATTTTTGATGCTGATATTTCGGCCCAGCTAACGACTCGGTTTATGCCTTCGTGTTTTTCGTCGCGTACATTATAGCGGACGTTAACGTATACGCGCGTTTACGTGTGAACGTTGCGGAGCGTTACGTTACGCCTACTCAAAACTGCCCAAAATGTCCCCCCCCCGGGGGAGGGGGGGGGGGATAAGACGGCGAGACGAGACGAAGCTTTATTAAAGCTCGGGGACACCGAGTTGCCTCTCGGAGCAATTATCGCGGATGAGAGCTGGTTCCTCTCGCGACACTTCGGATGCTGCGGATGCTGCGGATGATGCGGACCTCTCGGATACGGAGATCGCTCCGCGTATGCCGTCGAGAGATCCGCAAGAAAGTAAACGCGTTTCTCGGTCGGCGGAATGCTTTCTCCGTCGATCGCTCGGGTTAAGTCTCGGGGATTCCGCGGGGCACTCGAGGCACTCCGCGAAACGGGAATTACCCTCCAATGGCCCGTTATTACCAGACGTAATCGCGTGTTGATCTCCCGGGTCTCTGCAACTTCCACAATTCCCGCGGTGTATGTGTATCCACGGCTTCCAAGTTACTCGCGAAGTCGACCTCTCGACGTGCTTCGTCTCTTGGCGGCGTTTCTTGCAGGTCGGTCAATGGACTCGATCTGAACTCAGCGAATTTGATCGCTCGTGTCGTGGAAAGCTGCTAAATATATATAATATAAGTTTAATACAGTGGTAAATAAAATAAGAAATTTCGTAAATAATGCAGAAGACTTTGGCGGGGGGCTCGTGTACTCTAAAGCATCATTTTCTTCTATATTTTGTTTCACCGAAGGAGTTAAAGGAAATTTGAAAATGACACTTTCTTAATTTTCCTTCACCTCGAGAACTCGTTTCTTATTTACTCTGGCATTTATTCATTTCACGTGGTAACGATTAGACGGTAAAAAGTAACATTATTCATACTATCGAAAGGTCTCGTGGAAGTAAATGGCAGGTTTCTTATGTTATACGTTAACACGACTACTACACTCTCCGAAACGAGTTCCAGTATGAGCTTCCCGAGAATGCCTGCATTTTGTCCAACTAATTGGCTGAGAGTATTAATAACGCAGTCTAGTTTTTCTACAGACACCACGACGATTATACGTAAAGTCTATACTTTCCCGCCGTTACGGCGAGTCATTCCGTTTCGTTTAAAACTCGTATAAATTGAGACAACAAAAAGGCATGCAAATGCGAATCATCTAAGGAGCACTTTCTTTCCCGGTAATGTACCCGTGGTTTATTTACGAGTCATGTCACTTACAATTACCGACGACTGTTTTATTTCTCGCCTTTGTTCCGTATCTTCTCAAGCAATGTTTACTTTTCATTTAATATGACTAATTCGATTTAAATCGCACCGACTTCGACCAGCCGGATATCCGGACGTACAAATATCTCCAGATAAGAGGAACACCTGTCGCGCTTTTGGGCGTTGATGGATCCCTTTGAATGATAGCGCTCCGTTAACGGATCGATTCGTGCCAACCTGTTACGCAACTCGGAGTAATCAACCCGCAATGTCGGCTTTCACTCGAAGAGGCGGTGTCGACGACAATTATTGCTATCGGTGGTCTAACGTCAAGATGAAATAATAAGTAGCTGCTACGGAAGCGTCACTCGTACCGTTCGATGGCCTATACAGAAGCTATACATCCTCCATGCATAACGAGTGCACCTCGCGGCTTAACGTGGCTTTACCTTTCCTCGCTTATACTTGCAAATAAAGAGACGGATCGATTGCTCGTATAAATAGGAAGGCGGATAAGTCGATAAATAGGTGGACCATTACACCCCGGCCTGCGCTACTTATCGCGGAATTCCTCCGTTCCGTCCGCCGCCTCGGCAGAATTTCGCGTGTTAATCGATTACCTGTCGAGGGTAAAAATAATCTTAACAAGTGGCTGAAAGTGCACACCGGTTAACGACCGGCCATGAATTACCAGAATGTCAAGGTTTATTTGCTGAACTAATGCGTGCCATTAGTCGCTGGCCGATAATAAGTTTCTCATTAAGTGGGATAAATTCGTTAAGTTTGCGCGGTAGTTTCCATTATTTGGACATTTTATTGAAGTCGAACGAGTCTTTCATTTCGGGGGGTATAAAAATTATTGCTTTCCCTTTTTATACGTCAAAAGTGAACCCCGGTCTTCGCTTATTCTTGCCTTTTTCGCGGGTTTCTCGGATTTCGAGATTTCCACGTTTCCTTTGAGAGTACCTACAGAGCTTTCCTTTATGCCGCGAATGCACTTTCAAAATTGTTTGAATGGGCGATCGAGGACGAGTCGATCGTAAATCTCATGTGCTAATCGACGATTCCGGAGATTTGACGGCCCGTCGGTTTACAAGGGGTCACTTTTCGCTGGTAGGGGCGCGGTGTCTCGTTTAGGTTTCATTTTCGAGCTCCTTTTCGTATCTCGTTTACAAATTGGTATTCCCACTTAGTAAGGAATTCGTGTCAGAGAACGATTAATTTTACCGGTGGCATTTTGGCTCCAGTCCAAAAGCTCTCCTCCACGGCAAAAGCAACGAGCTTTCGAGTTCGCGAAGGAATCCTAGCTCCCGCACTTCCCCTCGTCGACTTTTCTCAAGATCGCGGTACAGGGTATGATCGATGTACCTCTGGTATCTGCTACACATTTACCGACATAACCGAAGACAGGAAACGTCAAACGCTCGATGTGCCGGGAACATCATTAGTCCACATTATCCACCGAGTTGTTTCTCGAAGCCCCTAAAAAGAGAGAGTCGAGAAAACCGAACTTTTGGAAACTTGCCACGTGGGGTCGTTCGACGTTTCCACATCTCGACAAAGAGACCAAAATACGTGTCAACTTGCGTTACTGCGAGAGTATCTACCCATATCCGCGTAATAACTTCAAACAGTCAGCTTCACAACAGCTTAGGAATCTAAGAACAAAGGAATTAGACATTTTGAAAGAGCGTGATCATGTCATTCAATTGTATCGAGTCTCCGTAATTGGTAACTAGTCACCTAAAATGCGCTTTCAGACGTTTATCCAGTATTTAACTCCTTCGTTCGATATGTTAGTCTCGAGATACAAGGAAATCCTTAAACATTGAACTTAACTTTCGGGATAGATAATCGTTTGCGAAATACCTGGAAATCGTATCACGGCTGATTCACCTTTGTAGACCGTTGCGCCACCGCGGAAGATGCGCTCGCTCATCTTTCATCGTCGTGGGTTCGCATTTTCCTCGCGTTCTTTCTTTCCCACCCAACCGGAGGATGTAGAGCTTTTATTTCTGGCCCTCGGAATGGACGGGTCTTGCCGTAACCTGCGTCAAAGAGCTTTAGCCTTTTCCGTCCACACCCCGCGAGACCGCGCCTTGAATCGCCGAGGGTACCCCTTGAACGCACAAGGGAAAGCTCCAAAGGGAAAACGCGGCTTTGATTCACCCTCCTCGAGGGAGGCGTTTAGCAACCTCTCGACCACGCGTCAAATCCTCGCGCTCGAGTCGCTCGAATCCATCCGCGAATTCTTGGGTGACCCAAACCTTGGGAACCCGCGAGAGGGGACGAGTCCTCCACCCGGCACCTTGGCGAGGCGTTAACCGGCTCTTTTATGGTTTCAGATCGAGCAGGCTCCGGTCGAGCCAGGAGGCGAGGACCGGAAGTTCGGGGCCGGGATTAAGGATCCGGCCGTTTCGTGCAGACAAAGTGCAGTGGGGTTAGATGGGAATCGATCGACGGATCGTGGGGTGGCCCGACGGGCCTTGTAGGGTGTCGTGAGTGGTTCAGCGGTTGTATATGTATATGTATAAATTCCGGAAGCAGCGGGAATAATTAATACACAGTGGTAGTGGTCGGTGAATGGGAGTCGTCGGTCGAGGTCAGGGTCAAGGCCGGGGTGCACCGAAGGTCTCGGGGTCGGGGGCGAGGAGGTGTCGCACCTCCCGGGGTGGGTCGGTCGGCCAAAGGGGGGGAGTGATGTGTCCGATGGACGGCGGGCGTAGCGCGGGCGGAGGTCGGGGCATCACCGGGTCCAGGAACGCCGAGAAGACTCCCGAGGGGTACAACGACGAGACGCGGGACGACGCGGCGGTTCCGTCGCCGGCGAACACGCGGGGAACATCGCCGAGCAGGCTGGCGGGCACGGGGGTAGCCGTTCCAAGGGCATGGCGACTACGCCAATAGGCGGTCGCCTCCCTAACGTAAGCCACCACCACCACCATCACCACCACCATCACCACCATCACCACCATCGCAAGGGAGCCGCAGCCCAGGCAGCGACCTCGGAAGTCGTCGGCGGTAGCAGCGAGCCCCCGCCGTCGACGGGATCGGCACCGGGACCGGGAGCGGCCCCCTCCAGGAGGCACGGAACACGGTTAGGACGTTCTTTCCCCTTTTCTCTCGCGGGTCCGGTTGCTCCGAGTCGGAGGGGCCTCGTTCCGGTTGCGGGCTCCGAAAGCTCGGAACGAGTCCCCTTCGCGCGGCAACGACCCCTTCGGATGTCTCTCTTTGGCCCTGCTCGAGGGCTCGTTTTGCTCGGCTTCGACCGAAAGCGGTTCCGCTCGTTTCCGAGGGCAGAGGCCCGCTCCTCCTCGAGCGAGGGCCTCGCTGCCCGTTGGCGGTCGAAGCGAAACGCGAAAGACGGTGCATGGTTTTCCGTCCAGGGGCATGAGTCGATAGGGTAATCGCGCGCGGAGCCTCCCGCGGGAGCTTGGGCGGGGCCTCTCGAGGGCCTCGGAGTACTCTCGTCCGTCGCCCGCTCGGAGGGACGGGCCGAGAGGCACTCGGCCCAGATCTTGACCAGACTTTCTGCACGTAGGGACCATCGGGAGGAGAGCAAAGGTCGCGGCGAAAGGTGCGAGAGGTCGAGCAAGGGCACGGAGAAAGCAGGCACGGTGGCTGCTAACGCCGGGGACGGGGACACGGGCGCAACGAGCGCCACGAACAACTTCGAGTACGACGACAATGAGTGGGACATCGGCATAGGGGAGCTGATAATCGCCCTGGATGCGGACATAGAGAAGACGAGGGACGAGCGATCGAGCCTGGCCGCCGCGACAGGCATGGCTTCTACGCCTGCCCCGGCATCGACCACGAACCCGGCCCAGCTACAGAGCAGCGCGACCTCCTCGACGACGACTTCGAGCTCCTCCTCGTCCTCCGCGTCCTCCGCGTCGGCCCCGAACGGGACCGTGGGCCCCGGAAGCGGGTCGAACTCGTCCTCCTCCTCCTCGTCGTCCTCTTCCTCCTCGTCCTCGTCGGGCGGCTCGAGCCCCGGCGCGGCCTCCTCGGCAGTCGGCGCAGCGGCCGCAGCGACCGCGAGCGGCCCGGGCGCCGCCGCCGGCTCGGCCCCCGCCGCCCCCGGCAGCGCGGGCGCCCCCGGCCTCGGCAGCGGGCCGGCCACCCCCGGCGGGCCCCCCGCCAAGCAGCAGCCCGGCGCGGCCGCCAACGGGAACCCCGGCAAGATGGCCGTGGAACATTCGGCCACCGTCGACAAGGGCCTCAAGATGAAGATCAAGCGAACGAAACCCGGCACCAAGACGAGCGAGGCCAAGCACGAGATAGTCAAGAGCAACGAGCTCAACGGGACGGTCTCTTCGGGCTCGTCCTCGTCCGCGCAGGACGCCGCCAACCCCGGGGCCGCGGGCCCCCAGGCCGCGCAGGCCGCCCAGAACGCGGCGGCCGCGGCCGCGGCGGACCTCGTGGCCGCCGGCCCCGGCGGACCCGCGGGCCCCGGCGGACCCAACGCCGGCCCCGCCGCCGCCAACGCGGCCCCCTCCAAGGGCAAGCCCCACTCGCCCGCGGGGGCGGCCGCGGCCAACGCCGCCCCGGCGCAGCCCGCCACCACCACCTCCAAGCGTGGCTCCAGCGGCCACCGGCGCGACAAGACGCGCGACAAGCACGACAAGCCCCCGACCACCCACGCGCCGCCCCCCTCCCAGCAGGCCAAGCCCGAGATGAACGGCACCGCGCGACCGCCCCCAGGGCAGGCGCCTGCCGCTGGCCCCCAGGGGCCCACCCCCGCGGCCACCGCGCCCCAGCAGCCCCAGGGCCCCCCGCCCGGCTCCAGGACCGGCTTCCCCGTCTCCCAGGGGCCCGGCCCACCCGCTACCAGCGCCGCTGCCCCCTGTCCCCCGCCCAGCCCCGCCAGCGCCACCGCTGCCGGCTCCGCCGCCAAGCCCGAGCAGACCAAGGTCGCCGCCGTCCCCGGCCCGCCGCTCACAACCCCCGCCGAGGAGGCGAGGGACACCGCCGCCAGCCCCCCGCCCGCCAAGAAGCTCAAGACCTCCAACGGCGAACCAAAGGTAAGCGCCCGGGCCCCGCGGGCCCCGGGCCTCTTCTTCCCTTGCTCGTCGCCTCGCGGTCTCCCCGCCGAGGAGGGACCCGAGAACGAGTCTTTTCGTTTTCACCGTGCCCACGTTTTATGCTACGCCGAGTCTCTCGCGGGTGGCTCGTCCGGGGTGGACGCGCGCGGAGTCGTTGGCGCCTTGACATACTTCGGCATTTCGGGGCCGTTAGCGAGGTGTGCTTGCCTCGATCCGCGCGTTTGTCCGGAACGGAATGCTTTCCGAGATGGCGACTTCTCTTTTACGCGTTTCTTTCTGTCGATCCTTTTTCCTCTTGTCCCGGCTATTTCCGGCACCGGGACCGGCACGCGTGCGCACTGCTCGACGCAATCGCGGCGGTTTGTCTCCGTCGGTGACGCCGACAAATTGAAACGACTCTGCGACATTCCTTAACGTTGTCGAGGGGGCTTAAGCTTTCCTTAAGGCGCTTTCTTGGCTTCGCGGGGACGATTCTTCTGCTCGGGGAAATTGTACGTCCACGTCCCTGTCGTCGCGCGTGTAACGACGTCGACGCATATTAAAACCTTGCGGACGGGGTTCGCGAACGGACGATGACGCGAGCTTGCTAGGGAAATTGTTTTCTCGAAGCCCCCGAAGAAATCGCTCCTCGTTTCTCCGCTAGGCTGCCTTTTCGTAATTTATGACGATCCATGTATACAATTTGGAGAAACGTTTTATATTTCTATTTACCTCTTATGTATAGAATGACCCTTTCATGTCACCTTAAGGTGAAATATTGATAAAACTTTTATTCAAATTGTCCGTACCGAATAATTTGAAACTTCATCACGAGATTTAGGAAGCCCTAAGGAAGAACGTAATGCTTGTGAAATTTCATTTTTAAAAATAATTTCTTTTATTGAGCTCAGACTAAAACCAAAATCATATTTTTCTGGGGGGTAAAATGAAATTTCACGAGCAACGCGTTCTTCCTTAGGGCCTCCATAATCAAGTGTTAAATTCATTCGGTGCACCCAGTTTGGAGAAAAGTTTTATAAATATTCTTACGTTTATATATATAAACGTAATTTTATATATGTATACACACGCACACACATATAAAATGACCCTTTCGTATCATCTTAAGGAACAAAGCGAAGCCCGGCTGAACGTTGCGGGGACCTCTTCGTCCGGAAACGAGAATCGATCGTAACTCTTGCCCTCTAAACGCACCTCCTCGCTGGCTTTATCGCGAAGCCGGCGCGGAGCGCCATCGATCGACCCGCCTCTATCTTTGACGCGTGGAGTCAGGCCTCGTGTTGTCGGCCGAGCCGGCCGCGGCCCTTTGAAGTCGGCGCAAGCGAGCCGTGAGCCTTTGCGCGAATCAGGCCTGACTTCATTCAGCCCCCTTCGGTTCCCATTTTGCTCATATCGGCGCGGTATCGATTATAGCTCCCGAAGGTATTCCCGACTACATTTGCCGGCCGAGACTTTTGGAGAACTCGCTCGCATCCCCTCGATATTTTCCGTCCTACGTGGAACTTTTAATCCTAGGCCTAAGATGAGCTTCGACGTAATCCAAATAACGGTAACTTCTACGGAATTGAGACTCCACTTTAGAACTTAAGTGGAAGATATTTCCACTTCTCCCTGCGGGTCTAAAGTGGGAGTTAATCCGCAATAAGTAGAGCGTATAAGATCGAACGTAGGATATAAAGAGAGAAGTAGGACCGAAAGAATTCTTCCGCAGGTTCAGAATAGGGTTGAAATTACAACGGAAGCGGACGCTAAAGCCCTTTCCTTTCCGCGCCGCCATTTTGCGCAAGATGGCGGCGCGCGTGGATTTTAACCACCGGGTAGGAACAACCTGCGTGGTTTATGTATCGTGCCCGAGGGTTTTATTCGTCGATTTTGTTATTTGGTCCACTGGTATATATCGGCCGAGGTCTCGGTACGTTTATTGTTATCCACGTAACCGGAAATAGTCGCTAGGTATAAATAGTTCTCGCGGTTAATCGGGAGCTTATCCGATAAGGAGGGGGGGGATCGGGGCTCAAATTCGCGCTTACCGAAAACCGAGCTTGGAAACGCCATTGCCAGCGATCTCGAATTATCCAATAGCGAACAAGTCCATCCTACAATTAGTCTCAATGGCCCCGGCCGGCCGAATATAGTCCGCACAAGGGTCGAATTACCGGAATCGGCGAGCGGATCTCCGTGTTCCGTGTTTACCGTTGATAAAAATAGCGCCCTCGCCCCTTGCCGCCCCCCGGCATCCACCTCGTTTGCCACGGCGAATGGTGATTGCGCGCAATGGGCGCCCAAGCGGCGAGGGTCTGTCGATGTAAAAAAAATTTGTCATCTTTCACAGTAGCGTTTTCACCACATTTTTTCCACGTCAATTTCCCACCCCGGAGCCTCCGGCTTTCCGGGGGTTGGCCGCGGTGGCGATGCCGATGGCGAGGACGAGGGTGAGTTTCGCCTGTATGCGGCGTCGTTGATGGTAACGGTGCGGGGCGGGGAGGACGACTCGGGGCTGGGGGAGAATCGCGTCGGTACAAAGTCGGGGCGGAAACGGTGTAAGTGCATCTTGGGAGTGTTGGTGGCTCGTAGCTAGAGTAAAGTTGAGGGGGAGGGTGTGGCGAGGGGAACGTGGCTGGGGGGATGTCGCGGCCGGGGCGACGGGACGCGGGGGTGGAAGCGCCCGGGCGGAGAGGGGGTGGGTGAAATCAATACTCTGCGGTCTCCGCCCCCGGGGGTACATGGATGAGTACACGAACAAACACGGAGGGGTCGTGCGCGGCACCTGCCCCCGTGTGGGTGGGTGCTCCCCTCCCCCGCGATGAACCTGTGCGCGCCCCCCTCTACAGCGGAGCTCCCCCTTCGCCGCCGCGCTTCCTCTTCATCTTCGCGCCCCTTGCCTCCGCCGCTGAGCCCCTGGTTTCCACCATCCACCCTTCTACCGTTTCAAAATTACGACACTGATGTGAAAGCTCCTCTAAATGAAATACTTTCGTCCGACCGAGTCGAGATGTTTTCCGCAGGAAATTTCCACGTGACCCCCCACCCCCCGCCCTTGCCCACCTCCTCTCGCTCTCTCTCCCTCCACCCCTTAGGGCTTTTCAGACCATCACCTCGCATCTCCTCCTGCTATATCGAACGACTATTGGCCGCGCGATGAAATCAATTTACTACGCCATTGGCGCCCCCTCCCCCGGGCCGGGTGCCAGCGCGTGTGCGAACGCCGCACCTCTTCGAAGTGGCACTCCGCCTTTTAAGTACTTCGAGAAAGAATATTTTATCTCTTTCCCCCTTTCCCTCTTTCTCCCCTTCCTCTGTCTCTCTCTCTCATTTTAATCTCTCTCTGAAATATGCCCCGCAGCTTCTGTGGTTTTAATGGAGTTACGGCTCACCCCTTCGGTATAAATCTCGTTGCCATACTTGTCCGCGATCGCGAGGCGGAGCGAAATTACGATATTGGCCACCGAGGTGGTGGTGATTTTGTTATCGCAGGCGGAATGCGGAAAAGGATGGAAAATTGGATTTTTAGGAGGGGCTACCTGTGAGCGTGTTAACGCCACAGGCCTGGCTTTTTTTTAGAGGGCGAAGTTTTTCAGGGAGGCTAGGAGGCCCTGGGGAAACGTGTTCGAGGTATCGAAGATTGAAGGGCACTTGCGCGTGTACGTTTCCCTAATTAATTAGTGCGATAATTGTCGAGACCCTACATTTAAATAAGATGTATTCAGTCCTTTTTTCATTCCATCAACCTGAATATTTTTCAACTTATTCGTTCAATTTCATTCAGCGTGTTCATTGGGTTAATCCGACATTTATAGATTTCGTCGCGTTCTTGGTAACGATTTTTAAACCGGTAACGGTCTCGTTTATATGTCCTTGCATTTATAATGCGGATATTACTTTAAACCACGATTTTGACGCGATTTACACGACCTGCAGAGCTTCGTTTAACCGACGTCAAAAGAGGCCGCAAACCAAGAAAAAAGAGATCAACTTTCCCTTGCGCGTTAAGAGGATCTCTTTTGTAAAGTGGTCGTTGGATGCGTTAGAAGAAAGGACGGCAACGAGTGAAGGGGGACGAGAGAACGAGACAACGAGATAACGAGAAGCGTAGTAAGGGGCATCAAATCTGGAAGGTTTGTCCGGGAAAGAAAGAACGGAAACAGAGGACGAGGAAAAGGAAAACTGACAGGGGCTGGGGGTGGAAAGAGTCGCACAGATGGAAGCGAAGGGAGGTCTCGTCTTTGGATGGAGAGAATGGGAAGGAGTCCATCGGAAGGGAGGGGAGGAAACGAGGACCAGAAGAGGAAGGAACAACCGGTGAAATATCCGAAGGGACGAGGGTGGCATCCGGCGCGGCGATTACAGTAATTAAGCGTCTGTTCTAATTAAAATGGCGTCGCCGTCTTCCTTTGTCGCTTTTAGGGATCGGGAGATGCTCAAGAATCGGTTGCTGGCAAAAACTTAATCTCCTTAATTTCCTATTATCGGAATCTTTTCATATCTGTAATTCAGTCCAAGGTAATGACTAGTCGGGAATTTTTTTTCGATCAACGCAAAAAAGAAAAATTGCAAATCCTAACCTGCACATTATCTCGCAGGAATACCGAAGGGACATTTTTCTCAAACTTTGACGTACCCACAGTTGACGTTAACGGGCGGTTAGCACAACGGCTGGATCACCGGGGTAATTCGTATTAGTCGCGGTCAACGTGGACCAAACTTTCTAAACCATTAGCTTCCCAGAGCACAAAGTACTAAGACCGGACTCGGGGGTTCAGCTTATTAGTCCACGGGTTGTGCCGGCGACCGATAAAACGGGCTCCTTACGGCAGGGGCCTCCTTACTCCGTGCAATTATATCGCATTTACTATCGCGTTGCGCTCGTAACCGCGCCTCGAAAAGCCCTAAACGCGAAGTTTTACCGAATCCGTTTTTCGCCGCGGGAAAAACGACCCTCTCGTTCGGTTGTCTGAATTTCTGTCCCCCCCTCTTTCCGC